TAAAATTTATTGAGTTCCTATTTTGTGCCAGGCCCTTCTCTGGCCCTGGGAAAATAAATATGAAAAAAAAAAGTTTCTGTTCTCATGGTGCTTGTAATCTAACAGGGAAGATATGACATACACACAAATAAATGATACCTGATTGACCGGAATAGGAACAGAAGAAAGAGCCAGGCAAAGGTCCACAAGGAAAGAGAATAATTTTGGCCTGGGAGGTTCCATAGTAGAAAAGACTTTATAGAACGTTGCAGCTGGAAAGACATTAAAACGTGGAATATGAATACAGGAAAGGACTTTAGGACACAGAATTTTAGAACAATGACTATTGGAATTGGAAAAGATCTTAGAACAGAATAATAGTACAGAAAGGGACCTTAGAATATAGAATGCTAGAGAAGGAAGAGATTTTAGAACACAGAAATTCTCAGCTGGAGAACCAGGAAAACAATACATACAGATACAATCTGTAAAGACCCTCCCCCCAACCCCCAAACAACATCATCAATAGAATGCTGTATAATTAAAATAACCAAGCTTGCCCTCCAAGATACAAAAATGCACCGTGGGAGACTAAGGATTATGTTAGGATTGTTGAGTTGCTCTTTTTTCTTTTTTTCTTTCTTATAAGGGATGGTTCTCTGGATGAGAAAAGAGAGAGGGGCATTTTGGGAAATGGAAGTGATGTAAAAACAAGATATTCAAAATAAAATATATAAAAATATATCAATTAAAAATTTACATCAAAATTTGAATGTCCGAACTCAAAAAGACCTTAGAGATCATCTATCTGGTTTGCAGATGTGGGCCTCACAATCACAGGGAGGATCTGGGTTTCTCCTGGCTGTGCACTTAATTCAATATGTGACCTTGGGCAAATCCCCTCCCATCTTGGGCCTCACTTTCCCCATGTGTAAAATGAGTGAATTGTTGGACTAGGGTGATCTGGAAAATTCCTTCTGGCTCTCAAGATCTGATGAAAGAAGAACCCAAGACAAAAGAACAAAGCTGGATTTCAAGGGGCATAATAAAAAGGTGAGGACCTTGGGGGTAGAAGAACTGGAAGAAACAAGAAAAAGGGAAAAGAATGAGGCCATGGTATCTAGGTGGAACTTGGAGGTGACTGAAAGTCCAGAAAGTTGGGGGAGGGTGTTGTGTGTATTTTGAGGAAGAATTTTTTATTTCTTTTGGAATGGACCTGTGATTTCCATGGTCCCAGGAACTCTCTCTCCCACTGCAGATCAGTGCCTGGGGAAGAATTATAATTATCTTTGTCATTCAGTTTGATTTAAAGTCACAAGGGTTTTCTGAGATGATTTAGTCTGATGCTTTCATATTGCCAATGAGGAAACTGAATCCTAGAGGAAGGAAGGCACAGCTAGGATTTGGACTCAGGTCCTCTGGGTCCACATCCAGCAGTCCGTGCACTAAAAACAAAAATAAGCCGTGTACCTGTGCTAGACTCAGTGAAAGAGGCAAAGATTTTCTCCCAGACCTCTAGGAGTTTATAGTCTTACAAAACGGTAAAAGACATGCAGGTAAGGCTATCAGCCTGGCAATAAACATTTCTATAGTATTTTCAGGTTTACAAAGCACCTTCCTAACAATTGTGTCAGGGAAGGGGTACAAGATTCATTTTCATTTCTCAGATGGGGAAACTGAGGCACAGAGCAGTTACGTGACTTATCCATGGGAACCCATGTCATTGCCAGGATTTGATCCAGATCTTCTGGCACCAAACCCACAACTTTTTACTTGGCATCATGAGACGTCTGGGTCTGAACACCTGCTACTTGTTGTATTAGAGTACACCCCTAGTCTCTGGAGACAGGAATTAAGTTTGAAGCTAGTGGGACGCAAGTACCTCGGAAGTGGCCTACCACAAGCTCATCCTTGTAATGGCCTCCAGAAATCCCAGGTAGGTATTGGGACAGCATAATATAGTAGAAAGCACCACCAGGAGACCCGAGTTCGAAACCCACCTCTGATACTTACTAGCTAGAATACATATATAGAATATATATACCTCGATAGGTTTCCATTCCCCCAAGTGGGGACAATAATACTTATAATACCCACTTAATAGGTGTGGTAAGAAGAAAATGTTTTTTGTAAACCCTAAAGCGTCGGAAAAATGAGCCATTATTATCCGTATTCACTCTCATCTTTTTAACACCAATTATTTTCTGATGATGCCATAAGGCTCACCAAACACCCAAATCTCCAAAGAATGGAAATTGCAGGTTCCCAAAGAGCCCTGAAGGTTGCTGGTTGGCAAGAGGAGGTTTGGGCAAGCTCCCTTGGAAGACTTCTGCACAAGAAGTGAGTTTTGGAAGAGGAAAGTAGCACAGCCACTGAGAGCCTGGTCCAAGTACTTCCCCCTTTCCAAGAAGGAAATCCAGCCGGAGAGCTGGGAAGGATGGAGGCGACCCCTCCTTGAAGGGAAGCTCCTGTTTCTCACTTTCCCTCTGCATTCCCAGTACCCAGAGCACATAATAGATTCTTAATAATACTTACTGAATTTTATTGAACTAAGTGGGAAAGTCTTCTACCCCCAAAAGGGGTGGAGATAGGGGCTTTGGTAGCCATACAAGGATTTTTCTGAGCTGGCTCCAGCTTTTCATCTAAAAGTATTTGAAGATGCTCTGAGACCTAGGGGATGGGGAACCCAGGGCATGGGGGCCTCGTGCATTATTATAACTAGCATTTACATAGTGCTTTAAGGTTTACAGAGCACTTTATAACAACTCCTTTTAGCCTCACAAAACTCCTCTGAGGTAGGTGCTATTATTATTATTTACATTCTATAGATGGGGAAACTGAGGCAGACAGTGGTGAAGTGACTTGTTCAGGGTCATACAGCTGGTAAGTGTCTGAGGCAGGATTTCAGCTCAGGTCTTCCCAACTCCAGCAGTCTAGCCATTGTGCCAACTAGATTCCTAAGCTGCTGTCCACTTCCAGAGAAAGTATCTGAATTCAGATTGAAATATACTTTTTAAACTTTATTATTCTCAGATTGTTTTGCCTTTTTTTTTTTTTGCTCTGCATTTTCTTTTGCAACATGGCTAATCTGGGAATTTTTTGCAAGACTGCACATGTATAATCTGTATTAAGCTGCTTGACTTCCCAGGGAGGGGAGAGAATGAGAGAACATAAAACTCAAAATTTTTAAAAAATGATGAAAACTTTTTTTACATGGAATTGAGAAAAAACTAAAGTGCATATTCCTGAGCTAAGGATTAATGCAGTGTTTATAAACTATAAAAACAACCCAATAACACATTTACATAGGAATTTCACATACCTTATCCCACTGATTCTGATCACAACCTGCTAGGACAAGCACTATTACCTCCATGTTAAGGGGAAAGAGGCTAGACTGATGGGGATTATTCACAGAGGCAGCTGGTGTCACAGTGAAGTCAGGAAGACCCTAGTTAAAACAGGGCCTCAGACACTTAGCAGTTGTGTAACCCTGGGCCAGTCACTGCCACTGCCTGCCTCAGTTTCTTCAACTGTAAAATGGGGATAATAACAGCATCTGCCTCCCAGGATTGGTGTGAGGATCAAATGTGATAATATTTATATAGCATTCAGCACAATGCCTGGCACACAGTAAGCCTCGATTTGGGGAGGGGCCCAGTCCTGCTAGCCTCTGGTTCTGTTTCAGATTTCTGGTACCCTTACTCCCCTCCTCTTTGTGCTGCTGTTTCCCGGCACAGAGCACAATGCTTGAACTCAGAAGCCCTGTGTTTAAACTACTAGGCTCTTTTACTTACCTGGCCGTCAGTAAGTCACAGGGTTGTCTCTCCCCTGACCTCTGTTTCCCCCTTTCTAAAATGAAGGGATTGGCCTCTGGTGATCTCATCTCTGCGGATCCCTTTCCTGGCTCTGAAACCCACAACTCAGTGTGGAGCCACTTGGAAACTCCTCCAACCCATGGAAAGTGTGCTAGTTCTGGAGTAATAATCAAGCAAAAAGAAGCCACAGAAACCCTGTTTGGCGAATGTACACACTATTCCGACCTGGCCGCCCCCCCCTTCTCAGCTGTAGGGGAGGAGATGTTTTCTTAGCTCCTCTCTTGGACTTCTGTGGATTTTTCCCCTCCCATTTCTCAAAGTTTTACTTCTTTTTGCGGATCCTGCCGCTTTCACGGCTGTAGTGATCTCGGGTTTTCGGTTCTGCATACAGCCGACAGAGCATCTGGCTCTGGCATCTGAGAGCCGGGGTTCAAGCTCAACCCAGGCTCGCCAGCTTTGCAGCTCTGGGCAAATCCCGTCCCCCCCTCACCCCGATGTCAAACGTCCGGCCGAGAGCCCAGGGGTTTCGGCTTCTCCCCCTTTCTCCACCCCAGCTCTAGAAGAGTGACCCCAACCCCCCCAGGTTCACATTTGTCACCTGCACCGCCGAGAGCGGGGGGGGGGGGTGGGGCGCGAGGAAAGGCGAGGTCCGCCCCTGCCTCCAGGGGCTCACCGTCCAACGCGACACCGCACACAGCCGGTTCCACCGTAGCCCCGCTGGATGCACCAGACTTCGGGGGGCCAGGGTCCCTGCTCAAGGGCTCCCTGGAGGGAGGGCTCCGGCCAGCGGGAGCTGCGGCTGGGCCGTCCGGGGAGCCCCCGATCCGGCCGCCTTCGAGGGGCGCACGCGCCCCTCTCCATCCCCCATCTCCGCGCGTGCCCTCGGGTCTGTCCCCCTCGTGGGCTCCCTCCACACCTGCAGGCGACGCTTCTGGGGACCCATGGCCCCCCCGGCTTCCCAGGGGCCCGCGATCAGAGGGTAGCCAGCCCCCTGCAGAAGCTCGCGAGCATGCACACAGGAGGCGCCAGCCGTGCGCGTCCGGAGCAACCCGGCCAGCCCCCCCGCAGCCCCCGCCCCTTCCCCGCCTCCGGGGAGGCCCCGCCCCTGACGCGCCCATTGGCGGCCTCCGAGGGCCGGGAGCGTTGATTGGGGCGCGCCGCTGCCGGTCGGCGGAGGGGGCGGGGTGCTGGCCGGGCCGGGGCAGCAGCTGCAGCCGCAGGTGGGGCCGGGCCGTGCCGGGCCGGGCCGGGCGTCGGAGTCGGGGTCCGGCGGCGGCGGGAGGATGATGGCCATAGAGGACTCGGGGCAGGTGCGCTACTGCGCACGCTTCTCCTACCTGTGCCTCAAGTTCTCGCTCATCGTCTACTCCTTGTTCTTCTGGGTGAGTGACCCTGCGCCGACCCCTCTCCCCCTCCCCCACCGAGGGAACCGAGCCGGGGGCGGTGGCGGGCTGGCTCCGCGGGGAGAGCCGCCTGACAGTGGGGAGCTCTCGGCCGAGACCCCTCCCCCCGGGTGGGCGGGGGTCTCTCCGAAAGCCTGGCCTGGGGCAGACCTCAGGGGAGAGAGGAAGGGGAGAAGGAAGAGTGTGAGCGTGAGAAAGCTGACCGTAGAGGGGAAGGGATTGGGGGGAGGGTAGCGTGGGGGAGGGTTAAAAAGGGAAGCCTTGGGAGGAAGGGGGGACTGCGACCCTGAGTCGGGGGGCGGGGCCGGGACGCGCGAAGGGAAGGAATGAACCGGAGGAGGGTTACTGGAGGAAAATGAAAGAGGACCACCGACCGCTTCCTCCCACAAGTCCCCAGTCCCCCTGGGGAAGTAGCTGGCAGTTCCGCTGGAGCCCAGGAGAATGTACCTGGAGGGAGGGAGGGAGGGTCGGATGCCAGTGCGGAGCCTGCCCAGCCTCTACGGGAAGGTGCCCGGCTACATTGAGCGATCTCTTCATACTTATTCCCCTGACTTGATTTGGGTTCCCCCTGCAGTGATGTGCACCCCAGCCCTTCTCTGCCTTCGGGTCCGGCGCGACTGGTCCCCAGGGCAGCTGAAATAGGATTCCATTCATTAGCAGCAAACTAATTAAGTGCGGTGCTTATTGGATTTGGAGTGGAGGAACCCGGAGTCACTTCCTGGACTAGTCCTCCGCTTGTCCGGATTTCAAGTCTAAATTTCCTCATCTATAAAACGAGAGTTGGACTGGATGACCCGTAAGGAGGTCCCTTCCAGCTATAAAGCTAAAGCTGTAGAGATGATTGATTCAGGAAAGGGAGGTGGCCGGGACCGAGATAATCGAGAGGTAGGAAATGTTGGCTGAGCACCTGTGCCCCTGGCGAGGGTGTGTCTAGGGTAGGGTCGCTCTCCTGTGGGGAAGGAGGTGCTGGGCTTTATATCAGAAGATTTGGAATCACGTCTGAGGCAACTAAGTGCATGTGTGTCTGGGTAAATGACTTACTTCTCTAAGGATCAATTTTCTTCGTCTCTGAAATGCAGGCTGATAACATACTCGATTAACAGCCTATAGGGTTGAGCGGAGAGTGCTTGGTAACCTTTGCTAGGTAAACTCGACTGTGCTATTAACCCCCGGAAACTTTCAGTGCCCCAGGCAGCCCTCTCAAAGATGCCAAGCGGTTTTCCTACCTGGTTTAATGGGAAAAGCTGGATTGCATATGCTTCTGGTTTACGTTACTGTAGCCCCTTCTGTTAATAGATGCTCTGGGCTTTGACCCAGCAGTAGCACTTCTAGGGCTTATACCGAAGAGACCATACAAAATGGGAAAAGGACCCACATGTACAAAAATATTTATAACAGCTCTTTTTGTGGTGGCAAAGAATTGGAAATTGAGAAGATGCCCGTCAGTTGGGGAATAGCTGAACAAGTTATGGTATATGAATGTAGTGGAAGCTATTGTTCTTTAAGAAATGATGAGCAGGCAGTCTTCAGAAAAACCTGGAAAGACTCGTATGGTCTGATGCTGAGTGAAGTGAGCAGAACCAGGAGAAGGTTGTACACAGTAACAGCCACGTTGTGCGATGACTCATATTGATAGATTTAACCCTTCTCAGCAATGCAAGGGTATAAGACATCTCCAAAGGCCTGATCATGAAAAATGCTATCTACATCCAAAGAAAGAACTATGGATTTTGAATGCAGATCGAAGCATACTATTTGCTTTTTTTCCCCTTGTTGTGTTTTGTTTCCTCTTTCTGGTGGTTCCTCCTATTGGTTCTAATTCTCCCTTACAACATCACTAATGTGAAAATACATTTAATAGGAATGTATATGTATAGCCTATATCAGATTGCTTGCTGTCTTGGGGAGGGAGGTGAGGAGGGAAGGGGAGAAAAATTTAAAACTCAAAATCTTATTTAAGTGATTGTTGATATAGCAAAATTAATTAATAAAAAAAAAAGAGAGAGAGATGCTTTGGGAAAGTTCCATAGTGGAGGTGTCTGGTGCCTTTTAGGTGAGGGCCCTGAATTTGACAACTCCATTCAATCTGCATTTTGCTGGGATGAGACTGGCTTGGGTTCAGAAAGACCTGGCTTCAGGCAAGACTGGACACACCCTCCTGGGCAAATCACCTAATCTCTCAGTGCCCTTGGCAACTCTGACTACAAATTGAGAACAGGTGCAGATCTGCCTTGTGATAGGAAGTTTTCTTACCTGAACTTCCTTATATCAAGAAAATCATGAGTTCAGTTTAAAAAAAAGTGCCTCCTTTTATAAGTAAGGAACTGAATGAGGTTGTGACTCGCTTAGTGTTAATCAATAAACATTTACTGAGTGTCAGCTGTGTGTGTGCCTGACCCTGTGCTAAGCTGGAGATGCAAAAAAGATGGTCTCTGCTTACAATCTAATGGGAGAAAGAGCCAGTAAACAAATGTATACCAAAGAAAGCTCTATATGTGATAAATTGGAAATAATTAACAGAGGGAAAGGACTATAGTTAAGGGGGTTGGGGAAGACTTCCTGGAGAAGGTGGGGGTTTAGTTGGGTCTTGAAGGAAGCAGGGGAAAGGTGTGGGGCTGGGTGGGGGGTGGGGGTGTTAGTCCATCAGAAGAGGGAGGGGAATTGGGGGGGGGGACGACAACCAGGCTGAATGCTGAGATGAGGTGTCTTGTTCCTGGAACAGCCAGGAGGCCAGGGTATTAAGTGGGAAAATCTGGTTTCAAGTCCAGGTCCTTTGACTTCCAAATGAGACCGCTTTCCACTGGGCTACTGTGCCCCTCAAGGGGCATACCAATGGGACATAAAGGGGGAGTAATACAAAATATTTGGGAAGGTGGGCAGGAGCTAGATTGGGGAGGGTGTTAGTATATGTTTTATTAAGACCTTACTGTATTCCAAGACACTGTGCTAAGTGCTGGGAATATAAGAAATAAAACAAAAACAGGCCCTGCTGTCAAGGATCTATGTTCTAATATGGAATGCAGTATGTGCATACGCATAAAATAAGCTAGAATTTATATATTATTATAAAGTTTGCAAAGCACTAAAATGTTAGCTCATTTGATCCTCACAATGGCCCTGTGAAGGAGGTGCTATTATTATGCTCATTTTACTGGTGAGAAAGCTGAGGCAGACTGAGGTTAAGTGGCTTGCCCAGGGTCACACAGCTAGTGTCTGAGGTAGGATTTGAACTCAGATCTTTCTGACTCTAAATCCAGCATTCTATCCACTTCGATGCCTAGCTGCCCTATTAAATATTATCATACATATAAGTCCATGCAAGATCCATACAAAGAGGTTTTTGTTGTCTGTCCTAGAGGTGATATGGCTTAGTAGATGGGGAGCTGGGGAAGACTTGAGTCCTGCCTCTGACTAGCTGTGATCTTGGATAAGTCATCTGACTCTAAGTAGCTCTCTACACATGGAAGTCACAGAGGAGGAGCTGATCTGCATTGGCAACTCCAGTTTCATCACCTAGAAGTACCCTATACCAATGAAATGACATTTTTGAGGCAATAGGGAGCCACTGGGGATTTAGAGGAGTTACATGGTCAGAGCTGTGTTTTAGGAACATCAGTTTGGCAGCTGCATGGAGAGGCGTGGAGGAGGAAGACTTGGCCCACCCAGAAATCTCTGCATGGAGAACACAGTGGGCACCTACTTTCTACAGTGCTACATTGTATCAGAATGAAGTTTATGAAAATAAGAGAAGTCACCACAAGACTTCACACGCTGCACAATAGGCAACACTGGCCTGTGCTTGCACCACGCAGGGCCTCTCCTAGTCACTGCGTGATTACCTGCTGGCATTCATTAAGTCCTTTAAAGTTTGCAAAGCCTTGTTTTGTTCGTGTGTATTTGTATTATATAATGCATATAGTGTATATAAGACACATAAAATATATACATATGGTGTACATGTGTATCTCAGGGTCATTTAGTTAGAACTGAAAGGGGTCTCAGAGGTCCTTTAATCCACCTTTCCCCTTCCATTTTGCAAGATAGGAAAACTTGGATTGTAGAGGAGAAATGACCAGCCCAATAGCTCATTGCTAGTAGGTGATCTTAGGCCATTCTTCTGATTCAGAACCTAGCCGCCTTCTGCCTTGGGTGGTGTGATCTCATTTACACCTTACAACAAGTACCCCCTGGGTACTTCAGGCATTATAGTCTGCATTTGAGAAAAAAGGACACTGAGGCAGAGAGGTTAACTGACTTGCCCAGGATCATGTAGCTAGTGTCAGGGGGTGGGATTTGAATGCAGGTCACTTTCTAAACCCTGAGTTTAGCTCTCTATCTGCCACCCCTCGCTCCCTGACAAGTGAATCTTTTCATGTTCTAACTCCTCTCCTAAGGACTGGCGTAGTCCACTGGGGCCTAGATTAGGAGTGTAGAACCTGGGTTTTAGTCCCAGCTGCACCGTTAAGTTACTAGCTGTGTGTTGCTATTGTGTAGTAGTTTTCAGTTGTGTCCAATTCTTTGTGACCCCCTTTGGGGTTTTCTTGGCAAAGATACTGGAGTGGTTTGCCATTTCTTTTCCTAGCTCATTTTACAGGCGAGGAAACTGAGGCAAGCCAGGTGAAGGGCCTCGCCCAGGGTCACAGAACTATGAAGTGTCTGCGAAGAGATTTAAACTCAAGTCTTCCTGACTCCAGGCCCAGTGCTTTATCCACTGTGCCACCCAGCTGCCCTTAACTTAGCTGTATAGTCTTACACAGATCACAATGAGTCGATGTAGCCAGCTGGTCTCCTAGGAGTACTTCCACAGCTAATAACTGTGATAATTTATGAATTCTGCTGGCTTGGGTCAAGCATGATGGTGTAGTTGCTCTACAGCCATGGCCTCCTCCCACTCCACTGTGGTTGAGGAAGAGGACGCTGCCTGTGTCTTCTCTTCCATGTCTGGGCCTGGACATTCCCCTTCCTGTCTGGTCTGTGAT